TTGTAGACATTGCATGTGGATTAGGGAAAATTGAAACTAATCAATTTGTTTAAGTCATAAATTTAGACTATTGAATTAATACAGAAAATACATGTATTGATTGAGCATTGCATATGCATATTGTTTGGGAGGAGATAGGGGATGTACTCCACGGTTTAGGGGAAGATAGGGGATGGACCTCTAAACCGGATTTTGTTTGGGAGGAGATAGGGGATGGACTCCATTAGCATCACTATTATGTGTGCTTATTATATTGAAGTGTTTTTACATGTTATTGATACAACACTACAATGTGTATCAAACGGGAAGTATGAAGTGTTTTGATATGAGCCTGAGTCTCATTTGTTTTGTTGATATTGAAAGTAATGTGAATATGATATATAGTTCACTGTTGTAAGTTTGGCTAGGTTCTGAGCCATGTTGATAATAACGAAAAGTAAAATGTGTCTTAGACATTAGTGTCATGAGACTGTATAGTGATACAATTGATTATCTTGGTTAACCATCTATTGAATGCTATAGCTTTATTCAGTGTTTATATTTGGTTTAGTATTTTTCTACTGGGCTGTGGCTCACCCTTTATGGGAACATCATTTTCAGGTTCAGGTGATAAGCTACCTCCAAGGACTTAGCTTGGGAGGATTTGGCTTTTGGATTTCGAAGACTAGCTTTAGTTAATTGTATTTAATTGTTAGTACATGTAAACATTCAAGCCTAGGGCTTTACTTGTATTTGAGTTAGAACTCATATTTTTGTGTCCAAGTGTTGGCTTGGAAAGATGTTAGCTCGTAGGGCATTTAATTTGATGTTACATGTAATGCTTTTATTTAGTAATACTCTAATGAATGAATTAATGAATTGTCTTCTTTAAATATTGCATGTCAATGATGTATATATAATGGGTTTATTTTGAGGGCGTTACAAGTCTCACAAGTTGAAACCTACTAATATAAAAATATTAGGACTCGGAGTGGCTATTGTGTACCCCATATAACATTCATTGTTGTGTGGCGATTTAGGCGGTTTTCGTGTCTTATTTGATAATTTGAATCGTCACTTTTTAGAGTATATCGAGAACAACCTACTTGCAAAAAATCAAGTTAATTGGGCATTGATAACCTTTTCATCAAATCACAATTATATCTGAAAAAATAAATGGTAGGTATAGTTTTAAGAATAAAAATGAAAACAAATGTGATTTGATGAAAAATGCTATCGATGTCAGATCAACTTATTTTTTGCAGGTATGTCATACTCAATATATCCTAAAAATTGAATGGTTTGAATTATGGATTAGGTTTCTCTCATGTTCACATCTCAATATAAGAGAACTTGATGGATTTGTAGAGCTCACCACATGTTTCGTTTCAATAATCCGATCCATTCATATTTTATGACTTGTTGAGTAGAATATTCATGCAAAAAAATTAAGATGATTAGACATCGGTAGTTATACGTTTGAATCAAATTCGTATCACAAAAAATGAATGGTTATTTTTGAAATTATATTTGTTGTCCATTTTTTAAAATAAATATGATTCAAACATTTAGCTATCAATATTTAATCATCTTGATTTTTTGTATGAATATTTTGCATGAATATTTGTCATCCATTTTTTGCATGAATATTCTATTAATCGAATCAAAAAAGTGAATGGTTTGGATCACTGGAATTGGTTTCAAAATGAGTTTACTAAGTCCAAACGTTCTATCAAGTTGAGATGACAATTTGAGAGAAGCCAAACTTTTGAATTATCAAAATAAAACCCAAAGTGAACCCCAATTGTCATATAACAGTGGCTGTTGTACGGTATGCACAATTGGCACTCCAATTAATATTGGGACATCTGGGAATTTAGGCTTGTTGGTTTTTGGTTTGGTTTTAGCTCTACAGATTTTATGGAAGAGTATTGCTTAATGCCCTTAACATTTTACTTCGAAACCCTCACTTTTTAAAATTTTTTATTACAATTTTTTCCTAACACCAATTTTCAATTTTGTCCCCATCATTATCTTTCCAAACTTTAACCATAACCCTAGTCCTACCCCCCACCTCCACCTTGGTCGGTAGCTCCTAATGACACCATATGACGACCTCTAGTGTTTAACTACAAAAAATTAAGATTTTAGAGACTAAAATTTAGGGACAAAATTATTTTTTAGGGATCAAATATTTTTGCCACAAAAAATGTCATTATATTTTTAGCAACCAAAATTGAACATTAGTGATGAATTATTATATTTTTTGGACCACATTTTTTGTCTCAAAAAATAAATCATTTTGAGACCAAATTATTTTGTCTCTAAAAGTGTATTTATTAGTGACATTTTCAAAATTTTGTTACTAAAAGCCTTATTTTTGACTTTTCGAAACGACTTTTTAGCGACTATTCTCATGACGATAGAAATTAGTCTCTAAATATCTTTTACAACAAAATTTTCACTTTTAGAGACCAAAAAACTTGGTCTCTAAAACTCTTATATGTTGTAGTGTTCTCTCCATCATGCAACCTTTCTTTCCACAATAATACCCTTTTCATTTTTTGGCAACCCCATCACTAATACAATGCTTGCCTTATTCATTCCAGCTGACAATTCTCACTGTTACGATGTCCACCATAGTAACCCCGACCATTGCACTCGCATCACCTGTCTCTTATGACCTTAGATTGGAATGAAGAGAGATTGACAACGAAATGGATACAAATAGAGAGAGATTGAAAGTGTTAGGCCTTGTTCGGAAAATCAGTGCCGCACAAATGGTGTTAGTTCAAACGTATATCACCGAACAAATGGTGGTGGTTTGGTCATAAACTACTGGACTAGATTTGGGCAATTAGGACCACTAAACAAATGACAATAGTTTGGGCATATAGTATGGAACAAATGGTAGTGGTTCAGTCATAGATTGCAAAACCAGATATGGGTAGTTTGCAAAGGGAGGCGAAGGTTGCGAATGGAGGATTCAGAAAAGTCACTAGAGATATTACTTCGGTGGCGAAAAGGTGTGAAGGAGATGGTGGAGAGGGGTTGAGGTGGTGGGTGATGGTGGAATGGGTCATCGGAGAAGGCGATGGTAGTAGGAAAGGGGGTGCTGTCGAAAAAGGGGAGGGAAAAAGGATAAGGGTGCAAAGAAAGAGGGTAAAGTTGAGAATATGGTAGGGGTCCGAAAAAATATAGGTAAGGAGCAATTTTGAAAAGTTAGAGAACAAAGAAATAGAATCTCTAAAATAAAAAGACATGTATAAATAGCAACACTCTATTAAAAAGTGTGCAAATATGAATATAATAAACTTAGTGGCTAAAATGTATATATATATATATATATTTACAAATTTTTATTAGAAAAGGCAAGTTGTTTCCTGCTAAAACGACGCTAACAAACAAAAAGAACTATATAAATATTTGTACGGCTGATAAAAAAAAAAAAAAAAAAAAAAGTACATAATAACAACATTTAAAATGAAAAACGCCATTGCCATGTTATTCTCATAAAAAATAAAAAATAAAAATTTATAATTTTTTTCTTTTAGTTATTAAGACACATGTGGAACAAAGCTTAAGAGTATTGTTATATAGATAAAAAATTTTGTAAGGCAAACTACGTTAATAATTTTTGTATTTTGATTTTTATGTCATTTCAGTTTCTGTAATTTGAATTAACTCGATTTTGACATTAAATTTGATTTTGACTCAATTCCAATTGCTTATAATTGTTAGTGTTTTTTAATGAAAAATATGTACTTAAGTAACTTATATCATACTTTTTAACGCAAAATTATAAATTTGTTTAACTCAGTAAGTTAAATTCAACCAATTTAGTGATAATTTTCCATGAAAAATACTAACGGCGTTATCAAGTGGACCAAATTGACACAAATTCTAAAATTAATGGTCAAAATTGAGTTAATAGAAAGTGTAGAAATCAAAATGACACGAGAGACAAATTGTAGGGACTATCAATATAATTTATCCATTGTCATATTATTTTTTTGTTCATAACGATATGACGCATTGTGGTCTTATTATTTTTAAGACAACAATGCAACACTTTAATTTATAATTACCCAGAAACCATTACTTTTCATTCTCGATGAAATTTTTCTTTATGAAAATTAAGTTGATAAAATTTTTTAAAACATAAAATAAAATTTATAGAGAAAGTCATCCAAAATTATACATAAGTAATATTTTTGAAATTATGAGATATAATCAAGAAGGTTTTGGTTGAAAATGAAATCATCACAGTAACACTATTAGATTAATAAATAATAAAAAAATTTCAAAAAATTTGCATGTAACGTTACTCATTTCAAAAACTTGAGAGGCAAAGTGACTGCTTGACAAAGTACTGTTATATTCAATTGGCTCTACTAAACTATATTTACTTCTATGGCCTTCTAAATAATAAATAGGCACATGCATACACACATATATGTATATATCAAAATATGTGTATGAATATACATAAGAAACACTACAGGAAATGTGGGTTTCAACGGCGTTTATTTAATGGCGTTTTTCTGAACGTCACTTTTTTATAATATTTAACGGCGTTTTGTAAACGTCACCTTTTTTTTTAAATGAAAACGACACCGTTTTAATGATAGGAGGCGTTCAAAAGCGCCTTCAAATCTCTAAACAGTATCTCCCTAAATGGGCCGGCCGCTGACTCACTCTTCTACACCCTCTTCCTAATCTCTCACTCACTCAACCCTCTCCTGATCTGGACGGCTCGCTCTCTCTCTCTCTCTCTCAAATACTTCCAATAGCAGTGATTCATCTCAGAATATCAATCGATCGATATCTCAACGGATCGCTCTCTCTCAACGGATCGATCGATCGAATCTCGGTGATTCATCTCAGAATGACATCTCGGCGATTTCGATTTTGATTTCAAAGCGCTCTCTCTCTCGATTTCGAAGGTCTCTCTCGATTGCGAAGGTCTATCTGTTGATTTGGTTGTTGATTTTCATTTGTGCAGATCAAGGCATTGCATATGCGGAGATCAAGGCATTGCATATGCGGAGATCAAGGCATTGAGAGAAGGCAGAAAGGTTCGGATCTACCCCTTCTCTCTCTCTATATGACTATCGAAAATCTGATTCGGTGATTCTGTTTTTTTTTTGTGTTGTTTGTTGATTCTGTTTTGTTTGTGTTGGTTCAGTGATTCTCTATATATATATATATATGTATATATATTATAACTAAAATTCAAATTTTGTTTTCTCTGTTCATTTTTCTAGCAGTGATTCAAGCTTTATTTGGATAACTATTTGTTATCTGGAATAGGAAAATAACTAATACCCTATGATTTTTCTAGTTATGTTGCACGGGAATACGCTTGCACTGGTATGTTGAATGAGAAGAGTGATATTTATAGCTTTGGAATACTTATAATGGAGATAATTTCTGGAAGAAACCCTGTTGATTATAGTCGACCAAAGGGAGAGGTTAGTCTTGAAATATTATGCTATCCTAATTATCTTTCACCCCTCTTTTCCTCCATCATTTCTAACAATCCGAAGTGAAAATAAATAATTACAGGTGAACTTGGTTGATTGGTTGAAGACAATGGTTGGAAATCGAAAATCTGAGTAGGTGACATTCTATTTGATTAGACAAAATTGGAGCTGGAAGGCTCTGATCGTGCCTACTTTCTTGAAGGAGAAAAGCAATCTCTTCACCAAGACTAAGGTAATTATGGACTCTTTCAGTTGATGTCAGTGTAATTTAGTGTAAATTTAGTAACTTCAACCTTTCATTACATCTTAGCAGAGTGAAAATTGCTTAATAAATCCAATTAAATTTATGTGTGTGTTATAAAAGCAAGGACCATTGATCTCCATTGAGTATGAAATATCATCTAATTGGTTGGTAACTATGTCAAGTTGCAGAATAGAATTAGCTTCATTAATTTATTTGTCTATTTTCTTCATGGTTGAGTTAATGAAATTTATGTGTGTGTTTTAAAAGCAAGAATGTAAACCTGTATATTTTGACCCTTCAACTATGAAAATGTATTACTTTCACCCCCCTCTAGACCACCTTCAAAATGGGTGTACTTGTACGATTTAATAGTTGAGGGGTCAATATGAGCGGGTTCATAGATGAGAGGAGTAAAGTGATATTCACTAATAGTTTGAGGGGGTCTTGGGGTAATTGACTTATTTTGTTTCAAATGCTTGATTTTCATGTGCTCCTCTAGCCATGAGGTGTATGTGCTGGTTATGTAGTACATACAGCTATATTTTGTTTCTTTATGCATCAAAACCATCAAGCTCTCTTACCCTTGACTCGTTGATATTAGTTCCTTTGCAGAGTGGCTGATGTTCTCTCTAATTATCAAGGATAACTTTGTTATTGTATATGAGGTATTTATACAAAATCTTGTTTTAGTGCTGATCGTACTTTTAAGGAAATGGTTGTAACAATTCTCAGTATAACTATCTTCCTAGAACTAGTGTTTTGGTTCAAGAAGCTGTTATAGGTTTTGTGTACATATGTCACAGGGATCTTCTATGATTTAGGATATTGAAATCAGGGTTATGTACTAGTCATGAATATTATCTTTTATAGACACACATTTAGTGATCAATAACTGGATTGTTTACTCTAGTAGTTGATTAAATGGTATCTTTGATATTGGGGTTTTTTTTTAATAAGATGACAATTTTATGCATTATAGAGGGGCTCAAGTCCAACCTTTAAATGATTAGGACTGTTTCTATATGTGTGGATGCATGTGTACGTGCACGTTGTTTGTCTTGGCTACATCATACATATTTTGCAATTTGAACGTGGCTACAATTCTTTCTTTTTAATGATTGATATCTGGTGTTTATTTTTTTTGAAAAATTATTGATCTCTTGCCTACTCTTGTTCACTAATATTCATGTAAGCTTTATGTGGTACTTTAAATGATTCATCTAATATTAGATTGCTTATCCTATTTTTTCTACCATTTATGCTTTAGTTAAATCAAATAAATTAATGTTTTTTTAATTCCATGTCAGATGGGTCTTCTCCTCTCCTAACATTTCAATTTATGGTGAACCGACACAGTTTTTTGTTATATGAATTATTTGTTTATTTGGGGTTTTGTTGATTCCAGGAAGCTTTTGCAGCAGCCTTCATCATTTATATATAGGTGAGTATGGGGTCAGCTTGTTGTGTTGCTAGAAAGGATAGAACCTTGATGATCGAAACCAATGAAGAAACTTTGCAAAAAAATATGATATCTTCACCGTCATGAAGTTTCCAGTGGGATACTCAAAGGCGCGTGTCAGGCCAAAGTGAGAATACTTCATATGAACCGTCTCATGGAACCAGCACAAACAGTAGCATGGAATTAAACGGGGCATTAGTTATAAATGGGAGTAATTTTTCTGGTCAGGGAAGCCCTCTAGGAAATTTTGTAACTCCCACATCTCAAAAGTCTCCACTTCATGAAGGACCAAGTGAAAATTTGATGACTCCTTTAGGTAAAGCTTTAAAATGGCATCTTGTTTGTCTTTTTACTACTTTTAGCTGTAGAGCATTTCTTAGTATGATAATTTAAATTTCCTGTGGCACAGAACTTAAAATTGGTTGTTTGCTTTTGATAAGTTATGAAAGGCCATCATTGCAATTAGTTTCCTCTATAGGCTCAATAACATGATCATATTTTGGGGCCGAAGCTCCTGTCTAACTTGATTTGATCCCACGTTGGAGCAAGGTTGGGGGAGGAATGTCCTAGGTGGGCATGGTTCGGAAGGGTTTCCTAGTCCCAAACCCATCATCTTTCCATTTCTAAATATGCATCTGTATATGTACTAGTGTGTGATAAAAGATTTAGTGCCTTTAAAGCTCCAGCTAATCATGTATATGCAAATAGTAACCATGAAAAAGCATTTAGTATTATTTTTATAAAAAGATTGCACAAATTATTTAAATTCACATATGCATCACTAATCACTAACTAGTAAATATAAGAACACCCTGATAAAAAGTTACTACAACGTGATTATTAGCATATCTGCCACTGATGGAGGTCGTACCCATTGCGAATACTATAGTTATATGGCTATAAACCCGAAAGGTATGGATACATTAGTGAAAAAGGATAGGACATAAGAGTTCAGTAATTTCTTGGTGTTATTTGGGATCCGGTGCTTCTCTGTCAATGATTCATTTTGCTGATCACTGCTTCCTACACATTCTGTTACTGACATTACATATCATGCTTAACGTTTCTATGAGTAGACACCTATGGCAATGCAGTGATTCCTGTTTTCTGGGCGTTGCTGATTCTCGTGGCCTTGTGAGCGATGGATATCCTTCCTCTGGATTCCATGTGTTAATGTGGATTGTTTTGTTCATTAAACTTAACTGGTCATTATCTTGGAGGGATGAATGAAGATTTGATCAAGGATAACTTTGTTATTGTATATGAGGTATTTATACAAAATCTTGTTTTAGTGCTGATCGTATTTTTAAGGAAATGGTTGTAACAATTCTCAGTATAACTATCTTCCTAGAACTAGTGTTTTGGTTCAAGGAGCTGTTATAGGTTTTGTGTACATATGTCACAGGGATCTTCTATGATTTAGGATATTGAAATCAGGGTTATGTACTAGTCATGAATATTATCTTTTATAGACACACATTTAGTGATCAATAACTGGATTGTTTACTCTAGTAGTTGATTAAATGGTATCTTTGATATTGGGTTTTTTTTTTAATAAGATGACAATTTTATGCATTATAGAGGGGCTCAAGTCCAACCTTTAAATGATTAGGACTGTTTCTATATGTGTGGATGCATGTGTACGTGCACGTTGTTTGTCTTGGCTACATCAAACATATTTTGCAATTTGAACGTGGCTACAATTCTTTCTTTTTAATGATTGATATCTGGTGTTTATTTTTTTTGAAAAATTATTGATCTCTTGCCTATTCTTGTTCACTAATATTCATGTAAGCTTTATGTGGTACTTTAAATGATTCATCTAATATTAGATTGCTCATCCTATTTTTTCTACCATTTATGCTTTAGTTAAATCAAATAAATTAATGTTTTCTTAATTCCATGTCAGATGGGTCTTCTCCTCTCCTAACATTTCAATTTATGGTGAACCGACACAGTTTTTTGTTATATGAATTATTTGTTTATTTGGGGTTTTGTTGATTCCAGGAAGCTTTTGCAGCAGCCTTCATCATTTATATATAGGTGAGTATGGGGTCAGCTTGTTGTGTTGCTAGAAAGGATAGAACCTTGATGATCGAAACCAATGAAGAAACTTTGCAAAAAAATATGATATCTTCACCATCATGAAGTTTCCAGTGGGATACTCAAAGGCGCGTGGCAGGCCAAAGTGAGAATACTTCATATGAACCATCTCATGGAACCAGCACAAACAGTAGCATGGAATTAAACGGGGCATTAGTTATAAATGGGAGTAATTTTTCCGGTCAGGGAAGCCCTCTAGGAAATTTTGTAACTCCCACATCTCAAAAGTCTCCACTTCATGAAGGACCAAGTGCAAATTTGATGACTCCTTTAGGTAAAGCTTTAAAATGGCATCTTGTTTGTCTTTTTACTACTTTTAGCTGTAGAGCATTTCTTAGTATGATCATTTAAATTTCCTGTGGCACAGAACTTAAAATTGGTTGTTTGCTTTTGATAAGTTATGAAAGGCCATCATTGCAATTAGTTTCCTCTATAGGCTCAATAACATGATCATATTTTGGGGCCGAAGCTCCTGTCTAACTCGATTTGATCCCACGTTGGAGCAAGGTTGGGGGAGGAATGTCCTAGGTGGGCATGGTTCAGAAGGGTTTCCTAGTCCCAAACCCATCATCTTTCCATTTCTAAATATGCATCTGTATATGTACTAGTGTGTGATAAAAGATTTAGTGCCATTAAAGCTCCAGCTAATCATGTATATGCAAATAGTAACCATGAAAAAGCATTCAGTATTATTTTTATAAAAAGATTGCACAAATTATTTAAATTCACATATGCATCACTAATCACTAACTAGTAAATATAAGAACACCCTGATAAAAAGTTACTACAACGTGATTATTAGCATATCTGCCACTGATGGAGGTCGTACCCATTGTGAATACTATAGTTATATGGCTATAAACCCGAAAGGTATGGATACATTAGTGAAAAAGGATAGGACATAAGAGTTCAGTAATTTCTTGTTTTTTTTACGGGTTTTCAAGTTTACATTTCTTATTCCGATCACTAGGCAACAAAACTGATCCTCTAATTTGCTGATTTTGCACTTTATTAGGGTGCTGATCTTATGGTGTGGGTTGCAAAAAGGTCGATGGTTGATGAGCTGGAAGCAATGCTCGATGTGGTAGACCCTCAGCCTCCTGGCAGATCTCTTTCCATGCGAAGGAGGACATTTGATATGCCCGATGATCTCATCCAGAAGGAACTTGCAGCCGTTGTCGCTGAGGTCGTTCAAATGCTTGATCAAGAAAATGGTACCTTTGACCCATCCTTGTTAAGTCCATAGAAATATGGCAAAATCACCTCATTTTGAGGTCACAATGTTCTCTCAACTAGGTGTAGGAAGGTGCACTTCTACTTATCTTTACCCTCTCATTCAGCCCTAATTGAGAAATTTCTGAGACTCGTTATCTAGTTGGTCACGAAGAGTTTTATTGTATTACTTTTACAGTTGAACTTACTGACCCATTGAGGGTTGTTTGTGGTGCTTAATTTTGTGTGTAAGGTTTAATTTTGTGGTGTAGCATTCTGTTTTTAGCATTCTGACAAATTCAACTACAAAAAATAGCTTAATGTTTATGAAGTTTTAATTTGTCAAAATGCTGTTGGTTATGAAGTTTTTAGCATTCTGACAAGAGACCAAAGGCAACATGGCAAGTGACTATTTATTTTGCTTCAGTCTTCTGACTAAAAGAAAATAATTTCAAAAAAAAAAGAAAAAAAAGCTATAACGGCGTTTTTACAAACGCCACTACAGTGCAACGGTCATATTTTTAAAATAGGGAAAAACCTATCACGGCGTTTTTAAAACGTCGCTAAATAATGGATGACGTCATTTTAGCTCTATTTATCACATTTAGTGGCGTTTTTAAAAACGCCGTCTATGCTAATTTAATGACGTTTTGAAAGCGCCATAACGTTATAGCGACGGCCGCATCTTCGACGTTTAGTACTAAACGTCACGAAAAGAATTAGCGGCGTTTTTTATACCTATAGCGGCGTTTTTTAAACGCCACTAAATGTGAAATTTTCAGCAGTGATTGCTGGGATTTATGTAATTTGATTTTGATATTTTGAATATATATATGTGTGTGTGTGTCCATACTCTTTAAGCCACGCAAGTTATAAATTCAATTTGAATTTTTTGGCGCTGCAAAGACAATAATAATTTAAAAGACAATATCATCTTTACCGATTTGTCTATTTGCTTATTATTCCATTTATTTGTCCAATATCACATATTTGTCTATATGTTGTTTATCTATCCACCTATTTATCTAGTGTCATTTATATATCCATCTCACTATTTATCTGTCTATATCGCCATCACCCACCTCCGACTATTTTTCCAATCAATTTTCTGACAACTGGTGATAATGAATAAAAATGAAAAAAATTATCCTTCAAAACAATAATTTATATTTCCTATCAAATAATTTCATTAATCATGTACTTATAATCAAAACAAAACAATCTGTAGACCTAATGCTGTACACCCTCCTACAAATGGACTTATCAACAAATTTTCATATTATTTAAGTTAATTTATAAACAAATTGAGGAAAATATATGCACATATATGGCCTTAAGTAAGATGCATTACAAATATGCATGTATATTTGTAACTGAATATTTTTAAGGGAGATTTATTAGAAAATCTTTTTTCAAGTGTTTGTATCCCAATTAGTCCATAAGATGTTTTTGTATTCCAATAAGTCATATTATTTGAACATTTAGCAAATCATAATTCTCATATTTAAAGTGTTTTATGGATATTTCTACTCTTACAAATATTTTTTGAACGGTTAGCAATTTGGTGATGTGAACATTCATATTTTAGAATGTGAATGTTCACATTGACAGTATGAATATTCACATTGACATGTTAACATTCACATTGATAGTGTTCACACTATTTATGTAAATATTATTAAGAGTATTTTGGTAACTATGTCACACATAAGACTTATTGAAACATAAAAAAATAATGTAAACTAAATGAAATATAAATAAGTAAAAAAAGATTTATGAAAAGAGTCCCTATTTTTAACGTGAGTACCTAAGTAAATTTACCTAGCAACAATATTCCATGTTCCATCTGTAGGGTCGTGGTTGCACTGTGGTTACCACTTGACGACAGCGACAGTTGCGCTGGCGCTGCTGAGCCTTCCTTTTGCATTTGGGTTGTTGGGTTGGGTTGGTGGAGTTGTGTGCTTGACCACCACGCTCTTTGGTTCTGGACCACCACGCTCAGCTTGGGAAACGTCAGTTACGTTTCCGGGACATGGCCCATGACATTTTAGGTATGTTGCTTGAGACATTGCATAAGAAGACTTCCTTTCAGTTTTCTAATTTGAATTGGAAGATCCAATTAGTACTTTTAGGTTCAATTCGGTGATTCAAATCGTTTAAATTTTTGTACTTCTTGTATAGATTATCCATATAAAAACTCAAATTGATCACATATTAGTAGCAACATGTTTGAATCATGAATCATATATATATATATATTTTAAATGAATGGTCAATATGATATTGAGGATAAGTTTATTTTTTTTCACAAACAAATATGATAAAAAAAATATGACTACCGATATACTATCAATCTGAGATACTTACTTGAGAGACACTAAAATTTAAATGGTTTAAATTACCAAAACAAACCCAAAATATGCAAAATACTAAACTACACCCTATATTTTTATGTTGCATCCATAACTATTTTTATGTACATCCCCTATGATTGTGGGATGTGCTAGTATCATATTCGAGCCACCTTTAAATTGGTTAAACCTAAACAGATTTATATTTTTTATACCAATCAAATATCTAACTTTAGTACTGTATGTTTCTCCAAAGGGTAATGCTAGGGACACCAAATTTTCTACCAAACAAATGACCAAATGTCTCACATGGGTGTGGGGTCCGCAATTTTGGGGGTCCCACACCCGTGTGAGACATTTGATCATTTATTTGGTAGAAAATTTGGGACCTCTAGCATTTTCCTTCTCCAAAACTTTGAATGTTTGAATTGGACAGGACCTGGATGGGGCAAGTATTTTGTGGGACCACTTCAATTGGGAATATGCTATGGTGCAGTTATTGCTTGTATACTTCTTGGAGGCCAGAGCCTCAAGGTTAGTTACTTACCAGTGTGGACCATGCATTTTTCTGAGTTCGTTGATCTCGGTAATTCAAATGACCCAACTTGTAAGCTTCATCAGGAAGATTATTTCTTATAAAAATTAAAATTGATAGATTATCGATAATCACTTCATTGGATTCCAAAATTATACCAATAAAATAATCACCGTTGTTCCTGAAATACAAAAAACAAAATAGGAAAATTTTGGGCAAATTACATCATTGTGTGTGTATTTTGGTTTTTTACCATCTTGGTCTTTCTAATTTTGATTGGCTCTATTTTGATGCTGAATTTATGATTTTGTCTCAGCTTACCCCAATTGATTACAATTGTTAAGATTTTTTAAAGAAAAATACGAATATAAGTAGCATGTGTTATGTTTTTTAGGTGTAAAATCGATTCATTTAATATTGATGTGAAACAGTTGTTTATAATTCATTTTGGTCTCTTTGCAGTTTATTTACTTGCTCTCCAAGCCAAATGGGAATTTACAACTCTACCACTTCGTGGTAATTTTGGGAGCCCTGATGCTTGTATTGGCACAAATGCCATCTTTCCACTCCTTAAGGCACATCAACCTCATCTCCTTAGTACTATGTCTTGCTTACTGTGCTTGTACCATAGCTGGTGCTATATACATTGGTAATTAATTAATTAAATCACAATTACCATCAAGTATGAGAAGTTTCTTCACAATTAATCCAATTTTCTTATTTTATACTGAGTCATTATCTTGCAGGATACTCCAAAAAAGCACCCACGAAGGAGTATTCTGTAACTGGAGTTGGCATTAATCGCATTTTTGGCATTTTTAATCCTATTTCAATCATTGCGACCACATATGGCAACGGAATTATTCCCGAAATACAAGTTTTCCAAGTTTTTTTTTATTTTTAAATAGCCTTTGAATTTTACGTTTTGCATTCAAATGTGGATATGAAATTTTGCAGCAACGATAGCAGCCCAAGTGACCGGGAAAATGTTCAAAGGACTTTTGGTATGTTACGCTGTTGTGATTTCAACATTTTTCAGCGTTGCCATATCTGGGTATTGGGCATTTGGGAATCAGTCTCAGGGATCAATTCTTCAAAATTTTATGGTTGATGGGAAGCCTTTGGTGCCCAGGGGGTTTCTTTTGATGACCAATGCTTTCACTCTCTTGCAAGTGACAGCTGTTGTTCTGGTAATACTCTACTCTAATTATTACTAATATATAAAAACCTATCTAATGATGAGTTTAATTAAATTATTGAGCAAATTACATCATTAGTTTTTGCACTTCATCCTTTGTATCATTTTGGTTTAATTGACTCAATCGATTTTAACTTTGAATTTTGTGTTTATTTGGTCAAATTGAAAACAGTTGATAGCATTTTTGACAAAAAAAACATACATGGATGACACATGTGACCTAAGAGTTACTCACCAGGTTAGATGAGATATTAGTAAGTTGACCACTTTGTCCTTAAAACACAATATATGTTGTCCACATGCCTATTTTTTGTCCAAAATCTTAACAAAGGTTGTCAATTGGATTAATTTAATAGAATCCTTAAAAAAAATTAATTAAAAAGAGTCGAAGCGAGGATATAGTACATTTCAAACAAGAATGGAAAGAGGTGGTTGGAATCCAGTGATTCATAGGAAAAAGGTAGGATGGCAGAGACGATCTGGCAAGGAAGGAGGGTTGGTCACTATTTTTGTGGATAACATTCCTGAATCCATGGACCCCAAAGGGTTATTTAGCCTATTCTGCAAGTTCGGCATAGTTAAGGATGTGTTCATCCCAGGGAAGAGAAGGAAAGCAACTAGATCTCGATTTGGGTTCGTCAGATACGACTGTGAAGTGGCGGTAGATATGGCGATCCAGAAAGCCAATGGCCTGTGGTGTGATAACAAGGCATTAATGGTTAAAAGGGCAGAGTACCAAAAACCCCAAACTCTCGGTCCAATGGAGCAAAGGGGCCCATACAGAGGTGAAGATGGTTCGAGGATTCTGCAGAGGACTTATTTGCAGCAGAGGCCACATCACGGTGGCAAGAAGACTTATGCAGAGGCGTTGGTTAGTGCTGGCTCAACTGACAAGGACAAGGTGGTAATCAAGGCCAATGAGGAAGGTAATGGATGGCTGTATGAAAGTCTAGTTGTGAAATTGAGCAGTTTTCTAGTTTTTAAGGATTTCAGATCAGAGTTGTGTATTAGAGGGTTGACAGATGTGGTTGCTAGGGAATGTGGAGGTAACTTAGTGCTCCTAACATTTAGCTCCGTCCAGCATATGAAGGAAGGGAAGGCTCAGTTGGAAGACTGGGGTCAGAAGTGGTGCGACTCAGTTGAAGAATGGGAGGAGGGTCAATTTGTAGAGCTGGAGAGGTGTGTATGGTTATACTGCTTTGGTATACCAATTAACCTTTGGAGTGTCACAACCTTTCGCAGTGTAGCTAGCCATTGGGGTTCGGTGGTTCAATTTCAGGAAGATATAATTAATCCTAGCACCTTCCACCAAGGAAGAGTTCGTGTGTTCACGAGGTGCATGGAGTTGATCAACACAACCGTTTATCTAGAATGCAGAGGTAAGCTAATTCTGGTGAGAGTTTGTGAGGAAATTCCATGGTGTTTATGTCATAACACTAGCATTAGCACGAGCAAGAACCACATTCAGATCCAAACCAGCGACAGAGAAGAGGTTGACCAACTGTCTGGTAATGGTGGGTGTAGAAGAAATACTAAGCAAGCCTCTTTAGGAAGGGTGGAAGGTATGGAGGGAGGCTCGGATGGATTAAGCAGGGTGATGGAGACAATGCCAGCCAGATTAGAGGGGTTAGGCAGGGGAAATGATGGTAAGCATGCAATAGCCGCAGGTGCCACTCAGGGATGCATGGGGAATGGCAATTTAGGTGCACTTTCCAACGAGGGCAGTCTAATTCAGCAAGTCAACACAAAGGTGGTAATGATGAATGAGATTCAAAATCTTAATGGGGATACAGGCACTTATGGGCCAACAAAAGACGTCCATGGTCCAGAAGGGGATAGACCACACATTAATCTGGAGGTCTTTCTTAAGGGAGGGCAGATTGGGCCCCAGCTTTGTGGATCAAATAATCAAGTGGGTCCAAACTTGGGTGATAGTATGGACCAATTCAGTCTTAGGCCCAATCTGATTCAATCCATTCAAACGAAATTGGGTAAGAGGGTTGATGGCAGCAGTAACGGGATGAATGTTACAACACACAAAGCCCACCATCCTTGGAAGAAAGGCCCCATTATAAAGAGTGGCAGCCGTGTAGTTGGCAGTATTATCAGACAGAAAGGTGGGGTCCGAAGTATGGGATTTTCAAGAGGTGCTTTCTTCAGAAATTCTGCAGCAACCGTGGCTTCATCTTTATCATCTTCATCCCAGAATGCTTCGAGAATTAGAAGGAGAAATTTGGTAGAAGAGGCTAAGAAAACTCTGAAGGTAGGAAGTATACTAGGGCTGCAGTTCCATGGCCAAGAAGATGAGGTTGTGAGCAAGTTAGTGGAACTAGAAGAGAAGGATGTAGAAAGAGCAGCAGGTGCTGAAAGGGCAAGCAGAAATTAGCAGTCTAACAATGGGGGAATTGGGTGCGACATGCATGTGTTATTATGAAGATTTTATCTTGGAATGTGAGAGGGCTGAGAAGGCCAGAAAAAAGGGGAAAAATCAGAAATTTGGTGAAGGACAGGAAGGTAGATGTCTTGTTATTGCAAGAAACTAAAAGAAGTACTGTGGATGAATTTTTTGTGAAAACCATTTGGCCATATGAGGAGATGGATTTTTTGGGGGTGGATCCAGAAGGCAGTGCTGGTGGTCTTTTGTGCATCTGGAGACCAGATGTCTTCCAGCTTAAAGACTGTTGTTGCAGTAGGAATTTCATCCTAATATCAGGTTCAACTTGTTTTTCTTTTGACTGCGTTGTAGTTAATATTTATGCCCCTAATGAGGTCCGGAGTAGGAGTCAATTATGGGATGCTCTGGTGAGTGTGTACCCTCATTATTCAAACCCATGGTGTGTGGGTGGGGACTTTAATGAGATCAGGTTCATGAGCGAGAGGATAGGGTGTTCAAGAAGAGAGAGAGGAATGAAGGATTTTAATGAGTTTATAGACAAATTGGAATTCTCTGATTTGCCTATGTTAGGTAGACAGTTTACTTGGTGTAATGCTCTAGATGGGGAAAGATGGAGTAGGATAGACAGATTTCTGATGGATTCAAGATGGCTGGAGAAGTTTTCTTTCAAACAGTGGGGCCTCCCTAGAACCATTTCAGATCACTGCCCAATTTTGCTGAAGGAGGATGATAGGGACTGGGGTCCTAAACCTTTCAGGTTCTTAAATCCCTGGCTGTCTCATCCTTCCTTCTTGCCTGAAGTTCAACAAATCTGGGGGAACAGTCATGTCTCAGGTTGGGCAGGGTTTAAACTTCTATGTAAACTAAGAATTTTAAGATCTCATTTAAAGGTGTGGAACAAGGGGGTGTTTGATAACATCGACTCTCAATTAAAAGTAGCCGAAGAGGAATTGCATGATTGGGACTTGAAGGCAGAAATCAGGCCTTTGACCGATAAAGAGCTTCGAAGTAGTAGAGAAGCTAGAAGTTTGGTATGGAATCTAAGTAGAAATAAGGAGAGTCTATGGCACCAAAAGTCCAGAATGCTCTGGGCTCGAAATGGCGATAAAAACACCAGATTTTTCCATATCATGGCCAGCAGGAGGCAAAGAAAGAATTTGTTAGACTCAGTCTGTGTGGAAGGGGTGAATCTTGAGGACCCTATTCTAATCAAACAAGCTGTGACCAGGCACTTTAGGCATCAGTTTTCAGAGGATTGGGTTGTTAGGCCGAAGTTATCAGGTCCTTTTGATGTAATAAGCTCCGAGGCTGCAGCTAATCTGGAAGCATTATTCTCTGAGGATGAGATTTGGGCAGCTATTAAAGATTGTGACGGGAACAAGGACCCTGGGCCAGATGGATTTAATCTCGCATGCATTCAGAGGTGTTGGTCTACTATGAAAAGCGAAATAATTCAATTTTTTCAGGAATTCCACTCAAATGTAAAATTATCAAGCGGGATTAATAGTTCTTTCATTGTGCTCATTCCTAAGAAGGATAGTCCTGTAGGTTTGGGTGATTATAGGCCTATTAGCTTGGTTAGCTCTATTTACAAGATCTTGGCCAAGGTTCTATCTAGTAGATTAAAGCAGGTGCTCCCAACTGTGATCAGCGAGGTGCAGTCAGCTTTTCTTAGTGGTAGACATATTGTTGATGGTGTATTGATAGCCAATGAAGTTGTAGATGGGTGGAGAAGTGCTAAGAAGAAAGGCGTTAAACTGAAGTTGGATTTTGAGAAAGCTTATGACTCCTTAAATTGGGAGTTCTTATTGTCAATGTTGGGCAACTTCGGCTTTGGTGCAAGATGGATTAGGTGGATGAAAACTTGTATTTCAACAGCTAAGGTGTCTATATTGGTCAATGGCTCACCTATTGAGGAATTCCAACCTCAGAAGGGCTTAAGGCAAGGGGACCCTTTAGCCCCCTTTTTGTTCATCGTTGCAGCTGAAGGTCTCAATCTGTTATTCAAAAGGGCAGCAGAGAAGGGCTTGTTTAAAGGTGCTGTCGTAGGCTCTGATCAGTTGGGTATTTCACACCTGCAATTCGCATACGACACTATTATTTTTTGTGAAGGTGGTAAGGATGAAATTTTGAATATAAAGAGGATGTTGAGGTGCTTTGAGGTGATATCTGGTTTAAAGATCAGTTATCACAAGAGTGTGGTGTGTGGGGTGGGCTACCATGATGATCAATCCAAGGAGTTTGCTAAGATCCTGAATTGTTTTTCTAAGAAGCTGCCATTTAATTTCCTAGGCTTGCCTTTAGGGTCCAATCCCAGCAGGAAGATCACTTGGGCCCCAGTCGTGGCTAAATTTCATAAGAAACTTTCATCTTGGAAGAGAAAATTATTATCCTTTGCCGGTAGATTAACTCTGATTAAATCAGCCCTATCCAATTTGCCGATCTATTTCCTGTCTCTTTTCAAAATGCCTAGAGGGGTTGTAAAGATTATCTCTAAACTGCAGGCCAATTTTCTGTGGGGGGGATCTGCAACCAGCAGAAAAGTGCACCTAGTGAAGTGGAAAGAGGTTACCAAGTGCAAGAGTCAAGGAGGCTTGGGAGTGAGGGATTTAGGAGAGGTAAATGAGTGCCTACTCTTGAAATGGTGGTGGAGGTTCGACAGGGAAGACAAAGCTCTGTGGAAATCCGTGGTGTGCTCTAGGTATGGTAGGATCGGAGGGGGTTGGAGCCCCCTGGTAAATCAATCAGGTAGAACTTCAATTGTGTGGAAGGACATCTCACAGCTTCCTATGGTCAACCAGCAGCTGGGTGCCTTTTTTTCTGATCAGGTCAAAATCATCATTGGCAATGGGAGGAGAATCAACTTCTGGCATGACGCTTGGTTAGGTAGCACAGCCTTGAAAGCTGAATTCCCCAGATTATTTAGTTTATCAACAGAGAAGGAGGAGTCTCTGCAGCAAATCAGCGCAAAGAAGAGCACCCTAGGGGGGTGGCAGCTTCAGTTTAGAAGGAATTTATTAGCTTGGGAAGAGGAGGAGGTTCAGAGGCTGCTAGGGTTGTTGGTTCAATCCCCTTCTCTGAGACCTGATATTGAGGATTCCTGCTCCTGGACAGCAGAGAAATCAGGGCAATTTACAGTTGCATCTGTGTGGAGGTGGAGGGTCGCAGCTAGAGGCCTTGGTCTGAGTGTTCCTCCGGGGGTGTGGGTAAGCTTTGCACCTCCAAAAATGCAGTTCCTTTGTTGGTTGGCTTGGCGTGGCAGGGTAAAAACTACTTCCTTCCTTCAAAGAATAGGGGCTATTGGCACGAATGCTAACATTCTCTGTGTTCTCTGTAAAACTGAGGTGGAAACTGTTGATCATGTTCTGCTGTTCTGCCCTCTAGTGTGGAAGTGTTGGTCTACTATGGTTGACTGGTGGGATCAGGTTTGGGCCACACCAGGATCAGTAGCAGACCTGCTACATTGGTGGGCTGGAGGTAGGTTCAAAGGCTGGATACTCAAAGCGTGGCAGATTATCCCTGCTGTTGTGTTATGGTCTGTCTGGAAGCTGAGGAATGACTGTGTGTTCAAGGGTGCTCATCCCAACATTCAAGATTTGTGCGAGAAAATTAAGGTGAAGGTAGCCTTGTGGATCAAATGTCATGCGGTGGTGAATTATTCAGTCTATGACATCGTGGCCAACCTTCATCAGATCAGGTTGGCCCTTTGAGGTTTGTGGTGAATTGCTGGGTTCGTGTTGATTGCTGGGGCTGGGTTCTGCTGTGGAAGAATCAAATCTGCTGGTTTTGGTTTTTGGCTTCTACTGCATTGGTTTATAACTTCTGGGATTGCTTCTTGGTTGCTATTGCATTGGTTTTGTGGTGAATTGCTGAGTGAAGATCTGCAATGGTGAATTCTGGTTCTGGTTTGTGTTGATTGCTCGGTTGCAGTGGGCTGGTTTTCTGCTTTTGGTTTGCTGTCGGTTTGCTTTTGCTCTGTTGGTTTGTTTTTGCTGTTCGCATCTTTGTTTTTCTTCTTCTTCTTGGGTTTGGCTCCTCGCCAAACTCCTCTTTCTCCTCCTTTGTTGATGTAATCTCCCTTCTTGCTTGGTCTTTGCATCTATAAAGGTTCTTTTGCTGATCAAAAAAATTGGATTAATTTAATATAAAATTTAAAATCAAAATCAAGTTAATTGAAAGTACAAAAATCAAAATATAAAAACTACCGAGATAATTTGTCACTACTTAAAATAAATCACTAAACTTCACCCAAAAATTGACTAGCTATGGCATAGTCTCTCACTATGTATATATATACATATTGTTTCCACTAAAGTGCATGGTCAATACAAACTATATTAGTTGGGATATTCCTTCTGACTTTGATTTTTTTTTTCTCCTTCATCTTTATTATCTCAATATACTTCATAGTTTTGAGTTAATAATTTTTTTTTTTTTGCCAACAAAAAAAATACAGACGTACTTGCAACCAACAAACGTAGTGATCGAGTGCAAGTTTGCAGATCCAAAGAAGGATCAATTCTCCATTCGCAATGTCGTGCCACGGTTGATTTTTAGATCATTGTCCGTTGTCATTGCCACACTTTTGGCCGCCATGTTACCTTTCTTCGGTGACATCATGGCGTTATTTGGGCCATTCGGATGCATTCCTTTGGATTTCATTTTGCCTATGATTTTCTACAATGTGACATTCAAACCCTCCAAGAAAAGCATAATATTTTGGGGAAACACATTCATTGCAACGATCTCCACAGTGTTGTCATTGGTCGGAGCAGTGGCATCGGTTCGACAAATTGTTCTTGATGCAAAAACCTGCCGTTTGTTTGCTAACATGTCAATATATGTAATGTTGAGAGCAACATAAGAAATGAAAACAATTGAGGACAATATGATATTGTTGACACCATAATTTACTTTTCTGTCGATTGTGACTTATTGATTATTGCCAAATTCAATTATAGTATGTTGAATAAGACCATAGACTATTTTTAAAAGATAACCTTGGCCACATTTGTTATTATTATTATTATCCCAGTCGACAATGGAGAACCAGAAGAATTAGTTGTTGTAGCCATTTTAAAGTCAAGATCTAGAATCAAGACCAGGTCAAAGCACCAAATCTGCAATTACCTATTGAGGAAATCATGGGTTTAGATCACCTCAAGACCAGGTCAAAGTGCCAAATCTGCAATTACCTATTGAGGAAATCATGAGTTTAGATCACCTCTCTCTCTCTCTCTCTCTCTCTCTCTCTCTCTCTTATTCATGTAGATGAGCCTATAAATAGGCCAAGAAAGATACAAGCAAAATACACAACTCAACTCACACTCACACAAACGTGAATTCTAGGAGTAGTTTCTACCTAGAAGCACTACAAAAAATTAAGGTTTTAGGGACCAAAATTTGGGGACAATTATTTTTGAGGAACCAAATATTTTTGTTGCAAAAAGTGTCGTTATTATAATTTTAGCAATGAAAATTAGACATTAGAGATAAATTATTATCCTTTTGGGACCAAATTTTTTGTCTCAGAAAATTAACCATTTTGAGACCAAATTATTTTGTCCCTAAAAGTCTATTTATTAGTGACATTTTCAAAAATTTGTCTCTAAAAGCCTTGTTTTTGACTTTTCGGGACAACCTTTTAGCAACTATCCTCGTGACGATAGAAATTGGTCCCTAAATATTTTTTGCAATAAAATTTTCACTTTTAGAGAGCAAAACATTTGATTTCTAAAACTCTTATATGTTGTAGTGAAGTAGTCACTTATCATCTAGAAGTAGTTCAGTTTTGTCTTGTTACTGTTACTCTTTGTCGATTGGTGATATTACTATTTCTTTATTCTTGTTTAAGTTCATGTAACTTATAACAAGTGATAATTTTATCAGTTTAATACCAATTCAACTCTCTTTTTTTATATTTCTCTTCATTTATTTTCCTCCAAAGAAGTCTTTAATCTGTTTAAAGTATAGAACTCAACCATAAGCGTTAATCATATGGTTTGATTTTGATGATGTCTAAAATATTATTGGACGAATTGTGACTTTTCAAATATACATATTTTACAATCATTCGACACGATATAAAAATATATTTTATCTATGTTACACCGATTTAAAATTAATGAAATTTATTATGTAATGAAATATATTATATATTTTTTCAAAACAGTGGTGATTTTTCAAACAAACCTTAAAGTGTATAGTTTTTGTGTTTCCATTTTTTTATTTATTTACTTTCCTTTTGTGTTTGCATTGGTTTCTTGATTTGTGTAAATTTCCCTCCATGAGTCAAGCCTATTGTCCTGCGCAATTTTCTTCTAAGATCAAGAGCAGACACCAAAATTCAAGAGATGTATTCCAACGGCTATTTTGTTTTTTGTCTAGAAAAGAAGTTTTGTGAAGAAAATAAAATATACAAAAGTGGTGAAGAATTTTGGGTGATATTCACAAGTTAAAATATTGTATTGAGTTACAATTTCTTTTGAAAGAAAGTTTATTGAGAATTTGACCTTTATTGTAGAAGGGTTTTCAATCCCATATCATTTTTCTTCTAAAAGAGAGTTATATTTTTGTGAGTGATTTTCTTGGGATAAAATTACTTAGGTTAGTGTGACTAGCACTAAATTCACAACTAATTGGTTAGGTAATCAGGGTTGATCAATTGTTAAGGTTCACTAGCACCTGTGAAGTTATAGAATATGACTACTATTTGACGAATAGTGAAAAAATCTCAAGGAGGATATTGAGGACATAGGCTTGGTTTGAACCGAACTACTATAAATTTTGTGTTTGCTCTCTCTTTCCTTTACTTAATTTATTTTTACTTCATATTCTTTATTTATTTATCATTTGGATTAAATTTTAATTTATTACTCTCATCTTTATTTCTTCATATTTTTTTATTTGTTTATTATTTGGGTTTTTTAATTTAGCAATTCATTTAGAAACTCAATTCACTCCCCCCCCCCTTGGGTTTGCTTTTGGGTAACAACAAGCTTGATCTATTTTTGTTTTGTAAAAACTAAATTTTGTATGTCAATTGACTTTAACAAAATTTTTGCTAACATAAATTGGCACGTCTAGTAAGACCTTTCTAATTTGGAGTGATGGTGAAGAGAAACAGGGTGAACTTGGTGATCCTAGCAAGAAACCCATAGAGGACCCTATTCTTGAGTATGGGGAAGACATGGATGTTGTCAAGGATAACATTGGTGATAACCAATCAGTAGCTGCCAAATTTGAAAAAGACCAAAAGAATGATCAGGAAGCATCAAATGTAGGCCAATTTAATGGCTTGACACCAATGCAAATGCATGACATGCTTGATCAGGTAAGGCAATTAGTGGAGATGAGGCCTCGGCAAAGTACTGAAGAAGTAAGAGCTACTTGCAGAGCAATAGGAGGATCTAGCAGAGGGGCAAGCCCACCAAAGCTAACAAGAACTGAGGTCTAGGTAAATAAGGTACAATTTCAACCTATTTTTACTCCGCCTATTTTAACTCAGACCTTCACACCTAGGTTTGCAAAGGTTCAAACATTTCACGACTCCACTTCTTTTTATAGATCTCCAACCTTCCAAGAAGAAGTTCAAGAGAGGCTTCAAATGAACTAAAACCAAGTCTATGTTCACAAAGAAGTAGGAAACAAACCTGGACTAGGAGGGCGATATGGACCCCCTAGACCTCGTGCTTTCTCTGAAAGCATGGAAGAAACACCAGTATAACCTAACTTTTGAACAAGATTATGAAAAAACAAGAGTCATGCCTATACTTTGGGGGGGAGGGGAGAGGGGCAAACTTATCCTCTAATGTATAAGGAGATTGCAATTGATAGGGTCAGGCCTATACCTGGGGAGAGGGGGACAAACTTGGCCTCCAATGTATGAGGAGCCTGCAATCGACAAGATTAGGCCTCCACTATGAGGGGCATGATTTTTTGCCAAACATGGAAAAAAAATGGCGAGCACCCCTTCGTCTATGAGTTTATATTGTTTGACATTGTTCAAGGTGTAAAAATTTATGAAATTTTCATAACATTCAATTATGTGAGTTTTGGAATCTAACATCTACTTTGGATTTGTAGATCATACCAAAAATTAATCTTTTGAAAAATAACAATGGTTGAAAAATGCTATATGCCATGAATTCTCTTTGATTAGCCAAAACATGGCTAACAAAGAAAGGTTTTATTTGAAAATAAGGGACATGGCTCTTCATTATGTTATTCGACAAAATCAAATGTGAGTACCCACCAATATTCTAGACAGATTCAAAATCAAGTATGGAATGTCCAAATTATGTACTTTATATCATTTAAGGAAAAACTACTTTTACCTTAAATAATGGGGACATTGTTGACACCATAATTTATGTTTCTATCAATTGTAGCTTGTTGATTGTGGCAAAGTTCGATTATAGTCTATCAATTGAGACTATTGACTATTTTCAAAATATAACCTTGGCCACATTTATTGTTATTATTATTATCCTTGTCAAAAGGCATGCTAACATGTAACGCCCTCAAAATAATACATAAAACCCATTACTTTAGACATGCATTGATATAAAAGAAACCAACCATTTCTATTCATCAGAGTAGTTCTTACAACAGTATTACATGTTAACAACAAAAGTAAATGCCCTATGGGCTTACAGCTTTCCAAGTCAACACCTGGTTACACAAAAGAAGAGTACTAACTCTATACAAAATAAGCCCTTGGCTTGATATACATGTAATGCAAACAAAATAAACCAAAAAGGAGTCCTCAACTCTCATCATCATCCAAGTTATGTCCTTAGTGGTAGCATACTACCTGTACCTGAAAATAATGTCCCATATAGGGTGAGCCAATGCCCAGTAGAGATATGCTAAACACAGTATGAGCAATAACTAAGACATTAGCAGTTGATAAATGTTCAATTTCCATAAACCAATTCATAACCCATTTCCATTTTGTGACCACTGTGTTCATGTTTCATTTCATTTTCCATTTCTTATCAATTTCACAATTTACATCAACGGCTCAGAACCTGGCCAACCACTTATATGAGACAGTGACTCATATTAAACGTTTCCCATTTTACAATAGATAAACATACTAGTTGTATCAACATCTCAACAGATAAGCATACAAGCTGTATCCACATTTCAACAGATATGCATATTAGCTATATCAACACTTCCAAAGATAAGCATATGAGCTGTATCAACACTTCCATAGATAAGCATATAAGCTATATCAACACGTTAACTGACAAGCATATGAGCTGTATCAGTAGAGTCCATCCCTTATCTCCTCCCAAACAACATCTGGTTTAGAGGTCCATCCCCTATCTTCCCCTAAACCGTGGAGTACATCCCCTATCTCCTCTCACACACAAAGTATATACACATGGGTCATATACACAATCAATCAATACATAACGTTAATGTATTCTATCAACCGTCATACTCTATGACATATCCAATTGATTAGTTTTAGTTTGCCTAATCATCATGCATTGTCTACAACAATCAAAACTACCCTCCACCGGTAGCCCAAGAAATTATTCCTAAACAGATAATAAAAGCTCCAACAGATAAAATATCAATGTTTTCAAAAGTGAGCGATTAATAAATCCAACTCCACTATTCTACTATATAATGAGCCAATTTCATTATTTCTAACTCAATTCCATATAACCACAATTTTTCCAAATTAATCATGCCAATTAATTTATACAACCAATTAGGGTTTTCTATCCCATTTCCCAATATTGACCCAATGGTCTATATATCAACAACCAACAACAGTTTCGTTATTTTGAAACCCAAAATACACATTATAGAATCAAAATAGCAAAACCCCCTTTCAACATTTTCAAACCCTA